TACCATGGTTTCAAACCCATTTATTTATTATTTATTTCATGGTAGGGAGCTTCTCAAACAATATAGAAGCAATTTTTTCAATTCAAATTGTTGAAGAGTAATGAATATCTAAATCACGGGATTGTGACAACGCCATCCCGTAAATCCCGGGATCGGAAAAAGCCGAAAAATTAACATCCCTAATTCGTACATACTTATGTACCCGCAAACATCCATATGTAAACATGTATGTTGTAAGCCAGTGGTGCACAGCGTTGGCAGAGCTCCCAATACAACCCTGCAGGGAAACCGCGGACTGGTGAATAAAATTTCTAGTTCCGTACTAGATCTTTATCGCCAAAAACGAACCAGTCCGATAGTAAGTAGATCCCCACCAGTTCAAAATCAGCGAAATGTGGGACTCTTAAAAACACTTTTTTATTTCTCTTTTTTCATAAGAAATCTATATCTAAAGTGACGAATTTAGAACTGGTTCGGAATTATAGAAAAACGGACGCAGAACGAACTAGATCTTATCTGTCGAATTTAGAACTAGTTCGAAACTATCGAAAAGTAATGCAGCGGGGGCTTGTTTAATTTACATAGATATGTGTTTGGCGGCTTTTTCGATCAAATGCACTTTTATTCTGCACTTCGCAGATGCTATTTCATAGTTTGGTAATACAAAACAAAACTTTGTGTTCACATATTAACATCTTGGAACCGTCTGGAATCTAACCAATAACAGCGAGCACCTCTGCAAAGTCAGCTACAGCAAAAGGTATGTAAACGTACATTTCTTACAATCATTCAAACAAATTTTATTTGAAATAGAAAAAAAGTTTCTTTGAAAATAATGTAAAATCGCCCACGGAAGAACAGAAAAGATGGAAAAATCATGATACTTTTTTCTTTCGTCTGGCGATTTTAAAACTGGTTCGGAACTATAGAATTTAGAACTAGTTCGGAACTATCGAAAAAGGGATGCAGCGGGGGCAATTGACACTTCCTAGGACATCGCCATGTTAAATTCGCCAGTTGTTTGTATGCAAAAGAGATTTATCTCGAACCAGTGCAGGGTCTAAACGTACTACAGGCGCACCAGCTCAGAATTAGAGATTTTCCCCACAGGGAAGCGCAATATTTTTGTATCTGTACGTGTGTATTCAGCAAAACAGCTCGCGCATGCGATGCTTACAGCATGAAGTACAAACGCAAACTAACCGGCTGCTAGCGGCGCATAAGTTCGGGCGGGTCGCAAAAACGACTCCCCTGCAGACCGCAAAAACGACTCCCCTGCAGACCGCAAAACGATATACCAGCGAACTGCAAAACGATGCTCAAAATTTATACCAGCCCCTCTATTCTAACAGAGTCCCAAAACTTAGCTCATAACTGTTGTGATTTCAAGTGCGCCGAGAAATGTGTCACAAAAAAATTCGATTTTGAGTGCTAGAAAAATACACAAAAATTTAAAAAATTGAATTGAAGCGGCATATTTTTTGAGCGGCAAGCTTTGAGGCGCGGTAGAAATCACAGCAGTGATGACCTAAAGTTTGTGACTTTGATTAAATCGTTTTTTAATCCCGCGATGCTGTTAAACGAAAAAGGTTCATTCATAATGAATAAAACTTCCGAATTAAGCATTCTACCAGAAAGTGCAGCTATACTAAAACAGCTAATCGAATAGGCAGCTAAACAGAATGTGCCGTAGTAGAATAATTTTAATTTAGAAATTTGATCGTTACCTTAATCCACCTAATATTAATAATGGAACAAGATTTGTAGTACAAGTGATTATCAATATATATTAGTTAAAGCACGATAAAGCTAAAAGTATGGCTCATAAGGATGCCTTAATGTAAACAAAGAAAATAGTTTGTCTCCTTTAAATTATACTGAACTGAATATTTATATTACTGTTTTTTATTTTGATTTGTTTACCCCGAACGACGTCGGGTGCTCTGCTAGTTTATACTATTTGTAAAAACACAGTTTACTGGCAGAGGAAAAAAGAACATTGATTATTCCAAAAATACAATTAAACCAAGGCACATTGAACAGGTTGTATCAGCATAGCAACTGATTTGATTTTTTTTTTCAAATTATTTGTTCTCGGAAATGTCTATTTTTAATTTCTTCTCACAAAAATTCGAAATTGTTAAAATCTATTTGCATGTGAAACCTTTTTCCATACAAAACCAGCGATGGAATAACAGCTTTTGGAACGCTCGCCCAACTCAGCAGCACAACCGCTGATTACTGGGCCTGGCACAGGGTGGATCAATGCTTCGAGAAGCAAAACAATTTACTAAAAAAGCGAGTTGCAACAATTTTCATTTTTTCAATTTAAATTTTTATCTTTTTTGTATTTCACATGGCACGCTTTGATGTAGAAGAAAAAAATCAGAGCAGTTTTTGACACTTTCGATACCAGAAGCAACAACAAAATACAGGCAAACCAAACCTGTTTGATAGGCCTTGAATTAAAAAAAATGTGATATAGTTCATATGAAGAAAGTAATATTCACAAAATATTTTTACTTATGAAAAGTCTAACAAAATATAGGGACAGCATCGTCTTTAATAATGCTCGCCATATTGAACATAGCGCTTTTGTATGAATTTTATCTGCATGCTTCTTAATATGTTAAAACCGTTGCTGGAAAACCTTAAAATGTTTGCATGGGATGATGTCGCAATAAACAGATGAAGTAATAAAACGGCCTTGTCGCTTTATTTGCTGACATTCGGCTGCCTTATAGTCACATTTTATAGGCAAGTTTTCAAATAGGGCAGTGGCACCTGGTAACTTCCACATGGGTGGGATGCATGCAATAACACCATACTCAATAATTCCCATTACTTGGACATTAAAAAGTAGTTTCAGAAGTGAATTAGTGTTATTTTATAATTTTTTTTTTCTAAACGGTTATAATGCCGCAGTACATAATTGCAAAAGGTGGGGAGAAGGGCGTGGGACGCGAGCGCGACCTCGAACTCAGCGCAGCGTGGCACGGGGCGGCACGCGAACGCGGACCGCTGCGACGCTGGGCACTTTCAAAATTGTATACTTACAAATCCGTCCTTTTAACTTGTTCATGTACTACTTTTTGTCAAATGGAACTGGGTGACTACCTATAAGCACCATTTTGCTTTATTACTCAATTGTTAAGTTTAAAAGTTGGTCTTATTGCTCAACGAGAAATGAAATAAAGCAAATATGTGTTATTTCACATTCAATTGGTAAATGACACAAATTTGCGTTATTGCCGTTTGTGTTATTTCACTCCCCCTAATTTAGCGTATTGAATTTTAACCGATTCATTTGGGGTATTCACAGCGGTATCGTATTGTTGTAAGTTGTAAAGTTTAAAAGCCAAAATAAATGTTTAGAGGACTTGAAACCACAACGAACTTTTTTTGTAGCACTGTGAAAATTCATAATATGACTTTTGAAACCCCCTTGATATATTTTTAGTTGTTTAAAGTTTACGACGTACAACAATACGACACTTACGACACCGTTGTGAATACTCCAATTATGAATCAATAATTAATTTTCGCTTAATTATCACCGTCAACTTCGTGTATAAGAACTTGCGACGTTACCCCGAGGGTACTGCGCTGTCGGCGTCACTCAGGCCTGCTTACAATGTAGTTTACTGAAGTGTGAAAAACAAAACATATAATACATGCGCCGGGTAATAAATTTGGGTTTCGTCCGGACTTGTACTTTTTTTACTTTAACGTCAATTTGAATTTTGTTAACCACTACGCAATCTTATACATCTTTCAGTCAAAAACTAGGTGTGTTATATGGCGTAACAGTGTTTTATTTTTTTTAATACGTAGTGTCATTACACCTAAAAAAGCTGTTAACATGCTCATGCTATGTATGTACGTAATCGAAAAATATATGTGCATATGGAATAGTATATACTATACATATGTATGTATACATATTTCTACGTAGTATACTTGGCATAGCTTTAATTTATGGCAAGTACCCTAATGTATCTTCCAAAGAGGCATTCAAAGCTGGATAATTATTGTGAACACTTTCGTCCATCTCCAGTTCAATCTGCTTAGCCTTTCCTTTAGAAAGAGTACTTTTTAATGATTCTGGATTTGCATTTCCTTTCTTTGTTCTCAATTTTCCCAATATATCGTCAGCACTACGGCATTTTTGCGATGAGCTTGATGATAAGTTCCAAGCACTGTGATCGTTGTGACGACGATCAATGCTTAAGGAATCGCGTTTTTTTTCGCAATGGGAATATATTTTTGTATCCTCGCTTGGTTTAGGATTCAAAAACGGTTGTGGACACATGCTCTTAATATCAGTAGTTTGGCTAAGTTTTACATCAGCAAAAATAGCAGCTGCCTCTACGCTCTTTTTAACACTTAAAGCTTCGTGTGGCTGAACAGATTTGCCATTGCCATTGATCGTAAAGAGTTCATAGTCCAGAGCTAGTTTTTCTGCAGCTGTTCGGCCAGAAGTGCTATCTTGGTGTGCTTTAGAAGGATTTATTTCTCCAGACCCAGATCTTGTTGTTCGATTCTCCCGCGGGCAATAGCATTTGCTGGTGCTAACGCAACTATCCGTGTCGCACCAAGAGCTGTCGGACTGTGAGATGGCTGCGTCAGCACCAGGCAAATCACTCGGTCCCCCTTGTTCCACCATAGAACAATAGCATTTTTCATTTGAATTACACGAGATTAACGAATATCGGTTATTGTCTATACCGGAATGGCAAGATGTATTATGCCTATCGACGTTAGTTAAATGCTTTGAAAGAGTCGCGTTGGAATCTTTTTTCCGACAGAGCCTGTTGTTGATGTGATCTGTTCTAAGACTGCAGTAACATCTGTCAGCTGAAGTACACGTACATGATTCTGAGTCATAGCTGCACTCGGAACAAGAGACGTAGCTGCAATTGCAATTATTGTAATCTGACAAGTAACTTGTAGTACCTGCTACGTACCCGCTGCTGCTGTTTCTATTTAAGCCACGGAGGGTGTTGTCGTTGCGTACCACCGACACGTCCGATCCACTAGTTGCTACCCGTGTCTGCTGCTGTTCGTTTGGGTGCTGGGTAACGGATGGCTGATTTGTGGTGGTCTCACTAATGTAACGATTTTTGTATCCGACTTTTTTATCTATGTGAAGTTTAATTGGCTTCCCACGGCAAGATGTAAACTGTCCCAAATGAAAAACCTTTTTAAGGTTTTTTGTACCGAAAACTGCAGTTTTCGACTTTTTCTAAAATGTAGAACAAAGACAATGTACATACGTAATTTCTGTAATTATATGATTACCATTATGCGCACTTATTACTAAATATAATTTCAATTTATTTGAAAGCACTATCTAATCACCTGCGGAATCGAAGAACTATTTTGTCGCCTCAACTTTTTTTTCCTTTGTCGACGCATAATATTCTTTGATCTGTGGAAGAGCTCGTCTTTAGTAAGAGTGACCGCTAACTTGAGAAGAAATTCCTTGTAAATTGGTTTAAGGTCGTTAAATGACATTCCATCGGCGTCAATTATGGCATTAAGAATCTCGTCCAATGAATTAAGGTTTTCATGTAATCGAAATTCGTTAAAGAGTTCGCTGAACCCGAGTGGTGAACTAGAAATAAAATGCAAACAGTTGGGATTTTGAGGAATTGATAAGACATATTACACCACAAAAAGAACGATATAAAAGGGAAAATATTAGCAGTTCTTAGAAATAAATACATTTATTTCTCCCAGAATTTTCAGTACAATACTGGGCTGTGTATTTGGAATAGCACAATATGTTCATATCTGTGGGTGAAGGTCGCGTTTGTTGCACGGTATAATCTCTTCCATAAGTCAGCCCGAATAATATACTTGATAGTACCCTCTTATAATTATACAGCCTCAGCAGGCTATTATTTGTCAATGCTATTCGTATATGGAACACTATCCCTGCCTCCATATGAAGTGGACTAAATAAAAGAAACTTGAACAACACCATCTTTACGTAAGTATTTTCGTTGAATCAAAATTTACCTATACATATAGCTCATTTACCTCAACAGTGTCACAACTCAAAAAAAGCAAATATCAAGAAAAACGGCTTTAAAGTTTTGAATTTACATATCGTCACCTGAGTGAAAGACCGACCTATCTCGGCAGCCAGTTCGAAAACGCCCTATCACAAAAAAAAATGTCAAGAACGCCCTACTCCAGAATTTGATTGAAGAACGCCCTATTTCAGAATTTTATTGAAAAACACTCTATCTCAGAATTTGGTTGAAGAAAGCCCTATTGCCTAGTTGAAAATACATAGAAAATGTGCCGAGATAGGACTTTTTTGAATCGGCAGCTGAGATAGGGCGTTCTTCAACCAAATTCTAAGAAAGGACGTTTTTCAATCAAATTCTGAAATAGGGCGTTCTTGAAAAGTTTTATGAGTTTTCTCAGGTGTCGATATATTCCCAAAGTAAAAATTAACACATATTTTGTTCTGGTGAGAAAGGGGTAATCGATATAGCTATGAAATTTTTACACAACATAGAAGACGACGTAGCGGTAATTCTGCATACTCAACCCAAAATTTATATTTTTTGGATTATGACACTATTGAAGTAAATGAGCGATATGTATATTTGTACATATGTACATATATAACTTAAATTTTTTTCCTAATTAATTTTTGAACGTCAATTTGTTTAACCTTCGCTGTGTCGTATGAGTTGTTCTGTGCTCAAATGTACATATGTATAGTTAAGTAACCTGTAACTTATTCTTTATACCCGAGCGCACTTGTGCACAGGGTATTATAACTTTGTTCACATAACGGTTGTTTGTAACAGCCAAAACGAATTGAGATAGATATAGACAAATGTATACATAAATTATCAGAATGAAAAGAGAAGTCGATTAAGACATGTCTGTCTGTCTGTCCGTCTGTCCGTGTATACGATAACTATTTGGTATATAGATTGCTCTTTATCCAAGATTTATACTGAAAATGGGCGAAATCGGACTGTAACCGCGCTCCCTTCTAATACAACGATGTTTTCGAAAAATGCAAAAACTATGTTTAAGCTCCTACCGATTTGGATGTGGTGCAGGGTGCACCGAACAATCAAATAAATCAAAGATTTGTTGCTTTAATATATGTTCTTATGTATAATACTGATAAGTTCCGATTTATTCTCGTTTCAATATGGGTATACAACGTTGTAAATATGTAAAGGGAAATTCAATGTAGGTAATTGCCTTAGTGACTGAATTTGCAGTTAAGCAAATGATTATGGTGGCGGTCGCGAGTATACTGACTTTAGGCTGGCGCGGTCGGGTCGCCCCGCACCGTCGCTTACATGTACGAAAACCAAAACGACTCGTCACCTTAACCCGGTATTTCCCAGAACTTTTTTTGTCTTATATTTCGCTGAAAAGATGTAGACTTATGTATTTCGACCTCCTGAGCACGAATATGAAGTCCATTTTTCGGTACATTGTTCCACTTTTCCGGAAAATGCGAAAAACTAGCGTTACCATATGGTAACCCTGGGTCGCCTAGGGTACAAGTTTTTTCTTCAAGATAAAATGATTTTTTGACATGTTTTTTTTAATTCACAAGAATTGGCTGTTTTAAAACATGTTTATTAAGTAAGAAAAATATACATATATTTATGATAATACAAAAAGAACTGAAATAAATCACGGTTTGGTATGGTAATTGGCAAAACACTTTAAACAAAGTCCTACGTTGCATTTTATACATGCTGTCCGTACGTTAACTTTGCATCGTTCACCGGCACAATGCCTACGATTGGATGGACCTACAAAATGCCCAGTCTGATCATAACGTAGAGTGTATTCAACTCGACCTGGTTGTTGTGCATATCTGTGGGAGGGCATCGGACCACTTGATTTGGCTTTTGTACCGTAATGTTTACAGTAGTATACTGCCAGTTGTCGTCGAAATTCTAGTTGAGTCAGTGACGGCTGCGCTTTCCGATGAAGCTGCCAAGCATTTTGAACACAAGCATCTATCAGCCAGGTAAAAATGCTAGACCACCACTTTTTTCCTCTGTATGCGATACGGTATTGGGCCAAATTTTGGTCGAATCAGTCTACTCCGCACATATATTTGTTGTATTCCGTGATCGCACAAGGGCGGGGTACATTTATTTTGGCTCCACTTGCCTTCGAATAACGCTGTGCCATTGATTTCGGATTTTCACCAAAGCTGGTAGATAACATGCAGACAACATTATTATCTTTTCATTTCACCAATCGAATTCCAGTGCTTCTCATCGCAATTGATTCCGAGTAGCCTCTTTCCATTGACTTGAAGTTTTTTTTATGCACCTGTGGACAGCTTGCTGGAATACGATTTTCGCGGATTGTTCCCGTAGCATTATATCCGCATAAGATACGCTAACAAAGGATAACTGGTAAACAGATTATCAAAGTAAAACGAAAGTGGCAGCGATTTCAATCTATCAGGAAAATCATCGATCATATTGATCAAAGGGGCGGCGCATTTTCCAAACTTGGCTTCATACTCAACATTCGAACGAGGATTCTTTCCCTGGTAAATTTCGAAGTTCACCAAGTAGCCTGATGGAGTGCAAAGAGACCACACTTTGTAGCCAAATCATAACGGCTTCCCTTTTATGAATTACTTACATCCATGTCTACCAAAATAAGATATCATACTTTCATCGAAAGAAAGATTTTGTTCGGCATGAAAATGTTTAATCATTTTTGCTTTCAAGTGATCAGTAAGGGGCCTCAATTTCCACATTTTGTCGGCATTTACACCGGTTTTAGAAGAAGCCTTGGAATTGTCTTCGAAGTGAAGACTTTGCAAAATATCTTGAAATCGATTCCGACGCATGGTATCACTTACAAGGTTGTTGCGAATGTCTTCATCCTGACTCCACAAATTTCTGTAACTGGCGTGATAATTGTAGCCAGTAATGATCAATATGCCGATAAACGCTCGAAGCTCACTGACTGTTATATTAGGGTTTGGTCCATTCTGTTCGATCGCATATACTGCACTTTGTTCGCAAATGTGTCCCAATAATGTGTCATCAAAAAATTTTTCAAATTGTTGGTGTGGTAGTAAATTACGACAATCTTCGTAATTTGCAACTGGAAAAATGGGAATAAGAGATGGCGAATCATTCTTTACCCATTCAAATGTTGCTTCCTTATTCCCTGGTGGCAATGCAACATTTGAAGGTTTTGGCCGCACTTTACGTAACCGCCTTCTGTCTGGTGATGTTGCACGATTGGATGTTGTCGGTTGCTCCTCCATTCCTTGATATGTGTCTTCTACCACAATAACGGGCAAATCTTTTATATTTGGAGCTGAAGAATTCAGGACTTAAAAAATTAAAATGATTGGTAAACTAATATTGTTTTCAAACATGCCTCCAATTTCATCTTCTTCATCAAAATTTTGTAAATGTCGTCCACTAGTCATTACAACTTCACAGCCGCCTTTTAGCTGAGCCGGGCAAACATTATCTGGGATGCCCCCACATTCGTCTTCAGCGTCATCTTCGCCCGATATGTTTCCATCTACAGGAGGTTCGATGTAAATGGCAGTTGGTATATCTGTTAGTTGATTTTGGTCTTCTGCTTCATCGAGCTCTTGAATGTAATCAAGCATTTGTTGCAACGATAAACCACTGAAACAGTAAAATTTATAAAATACCAAGAAAATATATAAATGAATATATTAGATAAATTTACAAACCAGCTCAGAAAATCACATGAAATGCGAAAAAACATGTACCCTAGGCGACCCACGATTACCATATGGCAACGACTTGAGTAAAATGTAAAAAAATTATACAAAAACACTTTTTTTGTACAAAAATAAATTCGCATTTCATAGTTTATTTCCTTAGCTGCCGACTAGTGTAATTATTAATAAAATTTCTTGAAAACGTATTGCTATATGCATATACTTACCGACGTGCCATATCGGAAAACGGGAATTATTAACTTTTTTTTTGTCACCTCAATTTGACATGCGTTAGCTTCGCTAATTGAACTCAGAATAACAGAAACTTTATTTTTTGGTAAGCAACAAATATTTTGCATTAGATAACGTTTTTCTCTTGTAGTTTTGTTATGTCGTTTTGGATTTATTCGTGTTAAAGTAACGGCATATTTTGCATTACCATATGGTAATCGTGGGTTATTTCGGGTTAACGTACGATATTACGTACAAAGTTGCAATATTAAGTAGTATTAAGTTAGAGGTAATGGCAAACCTCCGAGTGTATTTCTGTCATGAAAAGCAGCTTTTCATAAAAATACAATCATCGTTCGGAGTCGGCGTAACACTGTAGGACCCTCGGCTTTGTGTGACAACATCAAGGCGCACGCCACAAATCGGAGAAACTCGGCCAAACACTAATATATGTGTAAGCGCCAATTTATTATTATTATTATTAAGTTAGATATTACACTTTAAAATTGAATTTATGAAAGTTTTAGTTTTCCAACAATAAAAAATATCGTTTAGAAATTTATTAAATTTGAACCCATGTTCTCAACATGTCGGCCCGCCAGTGCCGGAAAAACATGCAGCAGTTGTTGTGGATTTTCCAGTTACAGGTACGCTTAGCTAAATAAGTCGCTGATGCACCGAACAAATTGCATGCTCTGGTTGTGTGGGCCGTGGCAAGGTAGTAGTTAGGCTGTCTTGTTTGGTCATCAGGAGGCCTGACCCGAGATCCCTGGTAAAAGAGGAGGGGAGACACACGACTGGAATTGCGAAACATCTTAGTTAGCCTGTGAAAGAGAGTCGTAAAATTAATTAGTTGGGAAACATAAGTGAAGTAAATTGAACTAAATGTGCGTTTGAGAGAGCTATTGCGTTAAGTGAAGGGTAAATAGCTTGTGATTCACTAAATTTTTAGTTACTGAGATATTCCTATTAACATTCTGCTGTTGGCGTGCCTTTAGAGTGGAGCATGTGACCTCAACTTTGGGATGTGCGAAAGTGAGACTGGTCCTCAATTAGCCGGTTGACGATGACTTTTCCTGCGAATGTGGCTTGTGATGATAATGACCACCTATGTACGGAATCAAAGCGGTCATCTGAGTCGGGCTGCATCGAAGTTGACGCTGTGATTACTGCGGGGAATCGCAAGGCTTCGGGGTTGAAGCACAAGTAAATTCATGAGAGTCCTTAACGGGCTGCGAACTGGCACTGCTGAAGAGGAGATTGATTCAGTTGAATGAGGTGACAACCGAGAAATCTCGCCGGATTCAACAACGCTTCGTCTTGTACCGTCCTCGAGATAGGTGACAGGCGTAGAATTTGGTTGCTGCTGATAGAGTAGTCTTTATTACATAACCATGATTTGGGGTAAGAGAGTAGTGCTGGCAATGGCTTCAACGTCTGCGGAGTTGAGAGTTGAATTTATGCTTCCGTCAAGTAACTGACTATTCCGAGTTTTTATTGGCGGTAGTCCCTTCCGGGCCGGAAATAAAAAATAAATGATAAATTTTGGGGTAGATATAGGGTGGGAGTAATTTTATTTTAGAGCATCAGAGGATTCTATGCCTTTATTGTATTTTGGGGTAGAGCTTCGAGCAAATCTTATATTTCGTGAAGCATGTTTCATACATTTGATTTGCGGAGTAACTAGATTCAGTAAAGTGCGGGCTCGGGAGAAGTCTAAAGAAGTCCATGATACTTTCCCAATTTGTATCCAAAAGGTCCAATTTTACCTTTAACAGCGACGCTGAGAGTTTCGCTGTTGAGCGTGAAGACCATCTTTGGCAAAATAAATCCAATATGTGGCATTCAAACATAAAATCTTTATAGAGTGCACTTAAGGATAGAGTTTGTGGGCGATTTTCCATTATAAGAATATATAATTATTGTGAGATAGAAAGGATGGAGTACGGTAAAAAATGTCGAAATTAATTATTTATGTTAATGCGTGCTTGTTTATTTATTTTATCCCACTGTGCTATTTTACTTTTCTTGTTACACTGTACCGCCTTTGTTTGTACAGCGCAATAGGGAAAGAGTTGGGGATTGGGTATATATGTACGTGTACGTATGTATTTAAGTAAGCGTTAGTATATACATATATGTAAAAATCAAACTTGAAAGGGATGAAGGAAATTCGTTCCGAAATAAATCATATATGTATATGGCTAGCAAACTAGGAGAAAGACAGATCGAAAAGGTGCAACTTTACTTTTATTAGGGTTCGACGTATTTTAATTTGGTTGCGAAATCAAGTCGACGACACGAAATAGCAATGTATTTGTACATATATTTAAATGTATTTATCATTCATACTTACACAAGTGATAATATAAAGGCGGAGTGGATCCTTTTTAGGCACGGTGCACGGTTTGCTGAACGAGGTGAGATTAGTATTGCAGGTATTTTTTGCAATAAGCATGGCCGTTTCACAGGAGGAAGCATCTTCCTCAATTTTTTAGTCGAATTAATTAAAAAAAACCCATTCTTATAGAACTTTACAGAAAAAAATTACTGTAGAACAAGCATGACTAGTTTGGCATGGAGAATTTTAGCGTCCACGACAACAAGTAACATCCGAACTGTATCTTTTTTATTACCTGAAAACTTGGATAAAAAAGAGCCTAATACCATTAAAAAAATAAAATTGCAGTATTGTAGATTTGCAAATTTTATATTTAAAAATTTAATATTGCATGTTTTGAAACAGTAAGTTTTACATAGCTAGCTTTTTTTAGCTTTTCGCGTTCTCTGCTCTAAGAAGATTGGTTTGCTTCTTCTTTGCGACCTCTTCCACTAGGCACCGAAACTACCACGTTTTCTTGCAGTTTTCTAAGTTCATACGAAGAGGAGACATTTGAAAGTGTATAAATAAGTATTATAGCGACTTTTGCAAGAGTAGTTTACATTTCATGCTATTTTTTTCACAATATAGACAAATTTTTCACTCTGCTGTTAGTGGACATGAAACCCACCAAAAACTAAAAATCTAAAAAAAAATTACATAGCGCACTTTGCAAGTGGACAACTCAATTGTTGAATATGCTATCTTATTTGTACCTTCTTTTTATACAATTAAGGAGCGGCTGAATGGTATAACGATGTTAGCGGTACATAATGATATGCCGATTACAATACAAGAAGTAATTGAAAAAATGTGTGTTAAGACTTGTACGTAAATAAATGTAAACAGATACGCGTAAATATATAAATATGCAGATATATTCAACGTGTAAAAACTGAAGTGTATACTAACGAAACTTCTACAAAACAAAACTGGACTACACACTTATTAATTAAAATGGTGTAGTAATTTAATTTTTTTAATTTAAATAAATTTCCCAGGGAACAACCGAGTAGACAAAAAATATGTAACGGTAAAAATGGCACATACATACATATATGAAAGAATGACCACAGGCGACGCACTATAGGCAAAACACGAGTTTTTTTTCAAAATCGTGTATCTTCGCTTAGAAAAGAGACAATGGAATACAGCATTTAACCCTTTAATGCAGGGTATGTCATATATGAAACGCTTTTTAACCCTTTCAAGGCAGAGGAAAAAGGTTACCAATATGCTTTTGCACGTGCTTTTTCTCATGTTGATGTAGATATTAATCGTAGAATTTTTTTTCATAGTAAAATAATAATAAAAAAAAATAAATAAAATAAAAATAAAATATTAAAAATAAATCAAAAATAAAAATAAATAAAAAGTACGTTGAAAACATATTGAGAACCATTTTGCCTCTGCCTTGAAAGGGTTAAAAAGCGTTTCATATATGACAGACTCTGCATTAAAGGGTTAAATGCTGCACTTTCGTAAAGATATCGACCAGTATAACCATTTTTTT